GCCTTGTGAAACATGTAATAGAAAATTAATGTTTCAACAATCAATTTAAAAAACTTTATATATCATTTTCATCTTTCTTAGAAGCTGTTGCACAACTTTTGTTAAACAGAGTTTAAGTCGGTGAACTTGCATGTAACAAGACCAAGTTCACCGACTTAAATTCAATTTTTTCCCCTGAAAGTTTGAACAATATTAACATCCATATAATCCGTATACGAATCTTAAATTTTATCTAACTTTTCTATATTATTTTTGCTTCATGTAAATACTTTTTTAATCCATATATTATTAAAAATTTAACATTTTATGAAAAATAAATATTTTGTCATTTTAAAAATTTGAAATTTTATAAATCCTTCAATTCGCCTGCTCATAATCTATAATGCTAGAATAAAATAATTACTACTAGTCTTGTAAGGCAATTTGTTTGGAATACCAGCAAAAATTTATATAAACACAATTAGTGTTAAATTTACAATACACTGTTTTAATATCGTAAATTATAAAAAGTTATGAAAAATGATAAAATTGAATGTAAAAGAAGATTTGATTGTTAATTGTCTTATCGAAACTCCTTTGAATTCTGTCTAAGAGCAATTGTCCTTGAATGAAGCTTTCATTTTAACCTAAGGAGAGGATCACAGCACCTCTTGTACCTACTAATTTAAATACTTTTTGCAGATTTTACAAAATAATGTAGTATGGAATTGAAATTCATAAAAATAGAAATGAGTTGACACAATTTATTTTTATTTTATATTTATTTTTTTATATATTTTTTATTATTTATATTTATTTTGTTATTTTTAAATTTAATTACTATTAACCGATGAAGAGGTGTGGTATTTTTACACTAAAATCAGCTTTTAATAATTTGAATTTCTTGAAGCAACATTTTAAAAGATTTTCATCAATAATATTGATAAATTTTGGTTATTATAGACATATAAGAATAGATTAGATTACACAAGAGGGACGAAATAAAACTTTTACCATTAAAAGAGACAAATATAGTTGTTCAGCCTGATTTTTTGTTTTTCTTCCTTTTCAGGATCCAAAGTCACTTTTTTAATATTTCTAAATGGTGGATCCAATATGGCAGACACAATTTTAAACATTTCAGGTAAGCTTATGAAAATGAGTACTCGGGGGTTTTTTGGTGTCGCTGATTGCGAATTTAACGTCAACTTATAAAGTTACTAAGTGGTTTTAAGCTCAAAACGTGATATTAGTTTTGATATTTCTTTAATTAATTTGTTTAAAACTATTTTTGAAAAAAAAAGAATTAAAATTTTAAAAAGCTACATTCAAAACTTAATTTTTCTACACATAGTGAATGAATATGGAAAATTTTCTGTAGAATCACAAAAGCGAGAATTGGGAAGTAATTGAAAATAATATTATTACAAATTTCAGAAGGATGCTTATAAAAGATATTGTACTAAGGGAAGTAAACTCAAAATGGAAACTGTTACACTAATTCTTTGAAGAAAAAGTGTGCGGTATCATAAAAATTATTTATTTCTTTTCAAGGGACATTTTTTATTTTGAAAATGAGATTTTAAATTCGTAATCAACTACCCCGAAACTCCTAATAGATACTAAGTTTTTTAATAAATTATCAATTTTCTAAAAATGTATCCCCCATTTTTAATTTTAAAAAGCAGACTTCAGATTCGTAGTTGGCGTCATCAAAACCACTATAGGTCAGAAGTACATGACACTTTTTTGGTAGGGCTGTGTAATCCGAGGTTTCATATAGTCAAGAAATTTCAGAGACCTCACAATATTCTTAAAATTGGTACTTATATCTATATCTCTTTTTTACAGTACTGACTAACTTTCCTCATAAGAATCATGAAACTCGCAGTCTATTCTTATATGTCTATGGTTTTTGTATATATTATAACAATTATTAATTACTAAAGTTGCAATTAAATAATAATTATGTAATTTATAATGGTACCTCAATTTTTTTGTAAATGTAGATTTTTTTTCTCTCTTAAAAATATGTCACATGGTCGGTTATATATCGCGTTTAATTTGTCCAGACAGACAAGTAACTAAGACGATTTTTAACTTGACTTTAGTCTTAACTATTAATTACATCAACTTTTTGTGGTCCAGAAAACGTCTAACTTCCTCCAAAACACGATATGGATTCACGATTGGTTGAAAATAGATTTTCCTCTAAAAATTATTTGTTAAAAAAGAAAATAAATAAAATAATTATAACAGATTTTTGATAAGTGTTCTTGTATTTATAAAATAAAGTGAATCAAAATGCAAAATAGCTTTAAGCGCCAATTCACAGTGTTCAATTTTCTTTCAGCTGTGAAAAGGAATTCTTTCAGAAAATTGTAAAAAATTCAAACCCAAGAAGAAAGTTAATCTTTGTAGAAAAGCAGATCTTCGTGAAATTTTTCGTCCTGTTTCCAACCAGTCGAGTGTGCTGGAAGTAGACAATGAAAAGTATATCGGAGTTCACGTGTTCTCGTTTCTTATATACTTTCGTTCGGCGTGTGCTTTTTTCTCCGACCGTATTTTCTTATATTTCTAAAATCGCGATAGTTTAGAATAAATTACGAGGTTTATTTTTTCTCCTCCTCCTCTTTTTCAACCACGAGTGATTTCTCTTATTTCTCCCTTATATTTTTAAGTGCCAGATATTTTTGCCAAATAAAGCAATTTGTACGTATATTTTTAGGGTCAAACTTATATATGTATGTTAAGAAAGTAAAAACACAATGATGAAAGACTTTTCATGGAAACCGACAGAAAATATGAACAAAAAGAAGAAGAAAAGCAAAAAAAAACTGTGTCAAATGGAAATTTACAGTAGGGTGAAAAATAGAGATTTTCCAAATAAGAAAATTCAAAAAATCCACTTGCATTTAAATGTCAGTAGATTACCTATACATTTGTCAGAAAATTGTAAAAATTTACATTTAGTTTTATTTTCTTTTAAAATATAGGATATTGATTTAAAAATAAGAAATTTTTTGTTAAAAATTTTAATATTTTAAAATTATTTATTAAGATTTGTTAATAATAATTTATACATAATCTAAATTTTGTTAAAATACATTTATGACTGAATTAATCTTTATGCTTTTCGTGTAATATTAATGAAGTTACGCCACAATTAATGTAATATAATATTTCCATAAAATAATAATTCATTATACGAGAACATAGCTAGTAAAAAGTCTTCCATGCATCTTAAATTTATAAAAATATCATTAATTTTTATAAATAAAGTATGAGAGAGAGGTACATCCTAAAAAAGTAATCTTCATTTTAGCGAATTCCTTGAAATTGAATACATATATTTTTCTCTTATATATTGTATCAAACAGTAGCCTTCACATAAAAGGTTTTTCCTCTCGCAATCAAACATTAATTAATAAATTTATTCACCTTTTTGGTTTAATGTTTTTTAACATCAGAACCTCAAAAAATTGTTTTATTTTATTATTAACCACCAAAAAATTGAATTATTCTACATTCAAGTGAAATACTTTTGCTTTGAGAGGAAATAATTTAAAGGATATTAAAAGAGGATTTTCCCTCTAAATATGGGATTACTTTTTTCTGGGTGTAAAACTGCAAAATAAATAAATAAAGCAAATGCCGATATCGAAACCAGATGTGTCCAGCATCATATACCTATATACACGTCGAATGCTGGACGCTTTTCCGCGAGAATTTCCTCAAATAAATTGAATTAGTCCATGAGCTTTAGATGTATGATGAAAATCTGACGACGAAATAAAAAATTGCAGAAAAATAGTAAAAATAGACCAAGTAGAATGATTGAAAAAAATTGGATAAAATTAGACAAAGTAAATTTCCAAGCACATCACCGTTTTAGGTACAAAAAGTTGATGGATTTATGGAACAATACGCGGGGTTGAATTCACAGTTGGTTTGTTCTCTATAGTTAATAAAAGAAGTTGACTTTTAATTTGTTATGTTATTCTTATGTGTACAGAGAAATCGTTCGGATATTACTAAGATTCGATGTTGATACGATTTTTATTCCAGACACACTGTTGATAATAATTTATTTTGCTCATTTACAATCAGTATAAATAGATATGAAAAATGTACTGTGCAAATGTACTTACTTTATAAACAAAGTTTTAACGTGTCGTATAATTACAATTAAATTCCTATAATTATGAAAAATTATTTAAATATTCAAATACTGATTTGAAATTTTTTTATTAATACAAGAATAAACCTATAACATAAAAATTTTTATTTTCCTTTTATTCTATAAATTTAAAGACATAACATTTTTTAAAATTTATCATTTTTTTTAATTTAACAGATGTAAATTTTTTAAAAATTAATTCACATTAATGATTTATTGACTAATAATGATAAAAGCTATATCTTACGACATATAGTTGAGAATATAATTATAATTGAATGCTTTGCGAAATATTTTTATCAATCCATTTATGACTGAACATTTAATTCAAATAAATATATTAATGAAATATTTTTGTTAATTGTAAAACATGAAGATCACTCCGAGTCAAAGAGTCATTCTTGGACTCCGAGTGATCGTTATCTTCATGTTTTTCAACAATTAAAGATGACCGAGTGATAATATAAATATTTATATATTTGTTAATGATTCAATAATTTAAATTCATGTTGTAATTATAGAAGGTAACTTTTTACTTTTGAAAAAATGATCAATCTCTTATAAAAGTTACATTTTCAATAATGAATTCATAGAAATATTGTTATAACTTTTTAATTTATATTCTCTCCAAATTTAAGCCAGTTAAATATAATTTATTTTGAAAACAAATTCAGTTAGGTACACTGAATTAAGAAGTAATATTTCTAATGCTTATTAAGTTAAAAATAACTTTATGGTTAATTGCAAATAACTGACGTTTCAGTAAATTTTATCTACTGATTAAATTATTCAAATTTGACTACTTTTAAATAATTTTTTGCTGCTAACCTGTAATTTTTAAACTTACGATTATTAATTTTTATCGACAAATAATTATTTTCTAATCGTTTTAAATTAAGCGAGATGAAAATAAATTTTTAGTAAAGAGAATCTTTATCGTTATAATTGAACTTCAATAAAATCAGTATCTTATTTTTTTCGAAATCTCGTAAAATTTTAGACAAATCTAATTTGTACACTTAATCTAAATTTAGCACCATAAATTAGCAATTAAAAAAGCACTAATAGCGATACGTTTTTAATTTTTTTTAGAATTTCTAGAAAAAATAGCAGTGTCTTAAGTGCGAAATTATGTTGAAATCTTAAACAGTGATAAGTAGGATTTGATTTTCTCTCGTGTATGCATAAAGGATACATAAATATGTTACCAATATGTAAGAGAGGATAAAGAAATGGAACGTTGAATTACACAGTCGCAAGTCATTAATTTTATTTATTTTGTGAACGATTCTCTGCGCTTATTAGGAATTTATGGTGATCACCATATAGAAAAGGCAGACCTTACTTTTGTGTCTTTCATATGTTGTAAAAGAGATGTTACGCAGACGAGGATGTCGATGATCGTCGAACATATTTTTCTTATTTATTAAAATTGATATTCACAACGAAATTAACCACAAAGATTGCTGCCTACAAGAACGAGGATCACTGGTAATATCCAGAAAGAGAATGAAAACGACACCAATGGTGGTCCAGAGTTGCATCCATCATTCTGACAGCAATACGTCCTCGTTCCCCACACCTCTGTAAAATTAGGAAAATTACATTTCAGTTTTACTTAAATCACTAATGTCTCCGACGGCTTTCGTCCGTCTACGTTTTTATTTCTTTATTTAAAGAAAAAATTAAATCGGAATGGAAAATTAACAGAAACATATCATGGTAAGTTGTAGTAAATATGCAAATGGAATTACAATAAGTTTTTCCAATATCGTAAGTTTTTTTCTTTTAAATCACAAAAAAAATTTCTTTCTCTGCATTAAGCTGATATTTCACTTCCCAATGGATCAATTTTATAGGGTGGTGCAAAATATAGGTAACATTAAACCGCACGAAACTGTTTGCATTTACCCCTAAATTATTAAACTATCCTAGAATTTATGGGTAAATAGAGAAGATTAGGCCAAAGACGTTAAGCGGGGCGAGAACGTTTTCTTAAATATTTATATAATTTTATGTCTCTTAAAATTTCTGTTTTTTATTGTTTAAACGTTTGCTTTAATTAAATTTAAATTCAATTATAAACACAAATTATAATAGAGAAAAAAATAAATAAGATATTTTAAAAAACGTCTTTGCCCCTCTTAACGCTTTTTCCTTCTCTCCCCTAGCAATTTTTTTTTACATTTGATTTTATTATTGATTATAACAATTAAATAAAAACAGATTTCGACAAAATCCTTCGTCAGACGAGAGTCAATACTATGTAGATGACAACCATATTTTGTTTGTTTGTTTTAGATCACCCAAACGTGAGATTTCATGTACACCGTTTAGGTACCTAAAAAACGACGGGCTTGCGCTTGAAGGAGTGCCACGACGGCAATTTTGAATATTTCGACTTAAATTTTTTTTTACAAATACTAGGATAAAGATGACGGTTTAATTTAATTTAATGTACCTTTTGAGTTGGCTTGACTCCCCTCCCTTTCACCCTTGAAGTACTTTTCTCTTTTACCATAGATTCCTGCAAATCAAGTATAAACAGCGACGTGCGTTTTTTTTATTTGCAAAGAGATAGCCCACGGTATAAAACCATTAAAGGGCACTACATAATAATACAAAATTGATAGAAGTACAGCATAGAAATAAGTATAGTATACAAAAGCAAAATCTTAAAATAATATTAAACGTTAAAATATCAGAAGTTATCTAATAGACATGATATATCCTAACAATGCTTTTTTGAAATTTGTTTGTGTTGTTATTTAAGTCGACAATTTGTTCAGAACGTGAAAACATTATGTTGATTATGTTACACATTGAATGAATTGGTGCTGTAAAGCCAATTGCAGATCTAGGCATAGGTAAAGAAAATGGTTGATGATAGCGTGAAGTTATTCTAGGTACTCTGAAATTTTTTTAATTCAAAAGGTTTGGACAAGAGATGTTATTATTAAGTAATTTAAATATAAAAATAGCTTGATCAATTAATCGTCGTTAAGCTAGAGTTAAGAAATTAAAATCATTACAAAGAGCAATATAATCTGAACCACGAAGTGGATATATTTGTGTCTTACGGAAAGTCAAATACTTCAAAAACCTTTTTTAGATTTATTCCAAAGCATCAATATATTCTAAAAAAATTGTATTCTATATAATTTGAGCATAAATAAATTTTGATAAAACTAATGCATTGAACAAAGTAACAAGGCAATTAAGGTTCTTGAGGCACTTAGAGTTTCGTATTAAACATCCTAGAGCTTTCGTTGCTTCAAATTCAACCATTTGAACGTGCAGATTAAAAGTTAATTTTGAATCAAAATGAACGCCAAGATCTAATATAGAATTAGATCTACTTAATTTTGTTTTGTTTAATAAATAGTCATACTCGATGGTAGATTTTAAGTATGGACCGTGCCTATACTATATTAACTTGATTTTTTTTCTGCGTACAAGCTGGATAAATATTTATAACACGGGAGTAGTAATGGTCGAGAGGCAATTCTTTAGGTATTGTAATGCGAACTCATGTATGCGTAGATCTGTATTTGTCCGTTAAGACTATGATAAAGTTCCACTCATCTTTTAACAGGAATGGGAACCTATATACTCGTAGTTATAGGTTCGATTATCTGACGGTCCGTTAAAGTTAAAGGCTCTGTTAAGCTGAGTTTAACAGCCTATGCGTTCCACCAACATGTTATAAGCCATGATTAGCTAAATGTATACTCTGTTCGCAATAACATTTACTTTCTCTAGTAGTTTTTGTTTGTTTGACCGTATTATATATTTTGTAGGATAATGAAAAGGCCTAGATACGGTTATTTTATATGATGTTTATTTTATAATCCCGACTAGTTTCGAACCATATGGTTCCTCATCAGGGGATGAACAATTTTACAGAAAATTATCCAAATATTGGACACATCATAAAAAGATTTCAAAAAGGATTAAAATATCTGAAAAAAATAATTAAAATTGTTTTAATTTTAATTTAAAAAGATTTTATGAGGTTATGTTTTAATTTGTGAAAAAAAATGAAAAAGTTTCTTACCCTTTAGAAGAACATTACAAGTATAGAAAAGGAAAAAAATTTTTTTACTTTCTCTATTGTGATTGGTCAATTCTAACGGAAAGTATACGTTTATTGGAGCTGTATAGCATTATCTTCACGAAGTCACCACGTGTTCGGTATCATAGCCCATACGTTTTGCAACGCTTTGTTTTATAAAAGTTTTATGTAATAAATTATATTGCAAAAATATATAAAATGACAGGAAAAAAGGTCACCGAATTGTTTTCCAGGCAAAAAGTCTTGTTTATCAGAATTGGTGACAGAGTATAAGAAATAATTGAAAACAAAGAAAGCGATGCAGTCAACATCAAAATGAAAAATGAAACATGGATAAAAATTACTCAAGAAGTTAATAGTCATGGTAGTGCAATTTACCGTGGCATTAAAAGTTTAAAAATTCTGTGGTAAATTTTAAAACGCGGTACACGCAAACATTTTGCAAACTTAAAAAACAGGTTCGTCTAACAGGTAAGACAAAATCAATCATTCTTATTACAAATTATTGTAAATAAGTTGAAGTTTTTACATTAAATAAATAATTATTTTTTGAATACTTAATGTAATTCAAAATTATGAATATACAATTTACGAAATTTTGTAGGAGGCGGACGAATTGAAAATGACTTTACTGGACAGGACGCTGCAATGTTTGAATGCATCAAACCGATCATTGAAGCAACGGTAACGAGTTTACCATATCCGTTCGATAGCGATTACATTGCAGTAAAAAAATTAATAATATTCTATTCTAATAAAATATATAATAATTAACGTTATTAAAAAACAATTAAAAGTTATATTGTCTATCAATAAAAATTTCCTTCGTAGAAGTAGATGACGCAGATTATACGAATCTTTTAAATAAAGCGTGTACAAGTGTAATTTCAAAACATCAGAAAAGTATAGAACAACCCAACCTACTTTTCGGGATCGACGTAAGAAATGTATTAAAGTTGTAATAGTTATTTTCGTAACAAGGGCGCAAAATAGGTGATTGCGACGATGGCGAAATGAAGGGACCGAGGGGACACAATTTCGCGCCCGAGGCGAAGCCGAGGGAGCGAAAGTGTCCCCGAGGTCCCGAAATTTCGCCAAAGTCGTAATCACCTTTGCGCCCATGATGCGAACATAATTTTTTGTCCTAACTGCATGGAAAGTATGGCATTGAGGGCACGCACGATTAAACTCTCATATTAGTTAAAAATTAAGCTCTATATAAACATTATATCGAATGAAGTCTCTAATGATAGAAGTTTTAAAATAGAAATAAAAAACAATGTATTCTGGAAACATAGTATTTATTTAGAACGTAGTAATTAATAATTGAACAAAACTGAAACAGGAACTTTTAAAATTGACAATTTTGATAAACGAAATGGAAACAAAACCAAATATCTCATTATTTTTTTTAGAGAAAAAAAAAATTGCAAATTTTTATAGACAAAATAAAACAAGTTGAAAATGTTTGCAGTTTTATAGTCAACATAAAAAGAAAGACGAAAATGTCGCATTTTAATGAAGAAAATCAAATACTTTACCGCCCGCTGACGTCATACAAGCGGGCGCAAAATACTTTTCCGCCCGCTTCCTCCACTCCCGGGCGTAATGTGTTACTTTGCGCCCGCCTTAAGTGCCCGAAATGACATACTTTTCGTGCAGGTAGGACAAAAAATATATTACATTAGAGTGAAAAATACTTCTCTGTCGCGTGTAATAATTCATATTCTATTTCTTCTGGTAAATAAGAAATGCAGAGTTTTGTTAAACGAATCCTAATGTAAATGTTTTTATCATAAAATTGTTTCTATTTAAAAAAATGCTTTCCCTTCTACGAATGTTAAAGAAAATTTCTTCTTCTATTTCCTCACTATCTGAATCTGTCAATAAATTGCTCAAGACATCCATTTTTCTGGCAAAGAGAATTACACTTGTCTGTCACTTTCAAAACACTTTTTACGTTAGGGCACATTAACCGACCTCTTGTGGCCGGTTAGAGTTATCATCGGTTAAATCAAGATAACGTTCCGTTAAAAGTTGGTGAAACGCAAGTAGAAATTTGACGGTCTGTTAATGTCTTAATCGAGGTTTATGGAACCGGACTATATAAATAAAGTCATCCCTGCTAAAATGTACCTAAAACTTCTTTGTAGTGTAAAAGATCAAATACAAATCTACGCATACATGAGTTCGTATTATTACACCTTGCCAGTGGCCAAAAAACATTTACGTTTGAAGAAGATTTCTAAAACGTTTCATGTCTGCCAAAGTAACATTAAAGATCGTTGGGGAAAGAATAGATTATACGTGGTATAATCCAGGTTATATTAATATTTAGGGTCCGTCCATAAATTACGTAATACATTTTTTGGGGAAATTTAACCCTTCTTGTAAGATATTTTACATACATTAGCGCCATTTTTTCTATTGTTCGTAAGGAGTTTCTGACCCCTCTTCCCTCCTAAATGTCTTACATAATTTATGGACGGCTCCTTAGTATTATTATATT